AGTCACTGTAGCGGTGTAATGGCTTGTAACAATAGAAACATAAACCATGATCAATACAATATTGACGAGAGGGACGCTTAATTGGTTGTTTGTTTGCTTGGGAAGATTTGTGATTTCCCTTTCTGCCCCCTCTTCCGTGTGAACGATAAACAGCAGCAACTTGAGGATGATGATCAGTAGTAGAGTCCATAGGGACTGGGTTAAGAGCAGCGGTCATATGGATGTCTCCATCCATATCATAGGTGGTGAAGGTAGGAAATGAACGGTTGGTGATGGAAACTGTTTCACTGGCAGCTTCCATAGCAGCATCAACAGTGGTAGGGCGAGCTAGAGCTACCATACGGGCAGTATCAGGAGTAAGACCGCGATAATAAAAAAGTAATTCTCCCTTGGGAGTCCAAATGTTTGAAGGCATCAAAGCTAATAGTTGTGAAAACTTTTGATTATAAGCGTCAATGCCAACGGTAGCTTCCTTCAAGCGTTGGAACGCATTGAGGATGGCATGAGGGTCGATCATACCAATAAACTTATTTTTAAAATCCACAAGGAATTGTTCATAGGAATGTTGGTCATGATTACGGATCCATTGGACATACCATTGAGCAGCGGGTCCAGTTAAGTTTCGGCCAAAAAAAGCTATACGATCCACATCTGTTTGGAGGTTTCGAGCATAAAGTTGTGCTTCGACAGTAACAAGGAAATCTGGTAGTTTAAATAAATCATAGCGACCAGAGAAGCGCATTGGAGCAGTACTGTAGTATTTGGAATCGGATGGGACTGGAGCAGGAGCAGAAGTAGGGTCAGCGGTTAGGTTAGTAGTTGGAGCAGGAGTAGTGGTTGGTGCGGTGGTATGATGTTCTGTAGCCGTAGATGCATCAATAGCGTCTAAAAATTCGTTCATATTTAAATTATTCGAGGACATGATGAAATAAACGCTACCAGTTGTTGTAGTATGGTGTGGTGAAGTTCTTTGTGTATTCCAGGGAAGCGCAAATAATATTAATAGTAATTCAAATAATCGAGACAGTAATCAACTATAGTCGATAGTATAATTACTAAAACGGTCTTATATATTAAGCGGCTTATATCGAGCTAATGTACTTATTCGAAGTTACTTGATTTGTTACTTGCTTGTTATTCTCCTTTTGTTCATATATAATATATAAATTATTTACAAGAAACGGTTATGGAAGATGATCTTTTATCTCCTGAAAACGTTGTCCTTTTATATGTTTTCTGGAGCTCGATCGATTATTCAGATTACTACATTAATGACTTGACTGATTCAAACCCTAAAATTTATTATATTAATTTAGGTGCACTACTGGATTAGAACTGCATCCCAATTCTCTAATCATGGTGATTAGTAATACACGTGGGACTTAATAAAACAATAGGTAAATTCTAGATTTGCCAAGATCTTATGTAATCCAATCTTTTTATTATGCAGCATCTAATGTTGTAGCACATGTAAGGCTTATTAATACACTAATTGGTTCTAGATTCATTCAGGATCTTATGTAATCTTGATGGTTATAACTATTCTATTCCACAACAGAGTGTGTTGTAGTATGGTATGGTGAAGTTCTTTGTGTATTCCAGGGAAGCGCAAATAATATTAATAGTAATTCAAATAATCGAGACAGTAATCAACTATAGTCGATAGTATAATTACTAAAACGGTCTTATATATTAAGCGGCTTATATCGAGCTAATGTACTTATTCGAAGTTACTTGACTTGTTACTTGCTTGTTTTTTTTATTTATGTTGATATATAATATATATATTATTCACAAGAAACGGTTATGGAAGATGGTCTTTTATCTCCAGAAAACGTTGTCCTTTTATATGTTTTCTGGAGCTCGATCGATTATTCAGGTTAGTACATTAAATTAGTACATTAATAATCTGACTGGTTCAATCCTAAAATTTATTACATTAATTTAGTGGATTAGAACTGCATCCCAATTCTCTAATCATGGTGATTAGTAATACACGTGGGACTTAATAAAACAATAGGTAAATTCTAGATTTGCCAAGATCTTATGTAATCCAATCTTTTTATTATGCAGCATCTAATGTTGTAGCACATGTATGGCTTATTAATACACTAATTGGTTCTAGATTCATTCAGGATCTTATGTAATCTTGATGGTTATAACTATTCTATTCTACAACAGAGTGTTGCAGAGTAGGATAATAATTACCATGATTAGAGAATTAATGTAATAAATTTTAGGGTTTGAACCAGTCAGATCATTAATGTACTAATCTGAATAATCGATCGAGCTCCAGAAAACATATAAAAGGACAACGTTTTCTGGAGAAAAAAGATCATCTTCCATAACCGTTTCTTGTAAATGATTTATGTATTATATATAAACAAAATAGAACAACAAGCAAGTAACAAGAAGTAATTTCGAATATATATATTAGCTTGTTAAAGCCGCTCAATATATAAGACCATTTTAGTAATTATATTATCGACTATAGTTGATTACTGTCTCGATTATTTGAATAACTACTAATATTATTCGGGGAAGCGCTAGAAATATCAAACGGATAATTTATTAATAATCGAGACAATAATTGATACAATCAGTAATGCAATTATTAATACGGTCTTATATATTGAGCAGCTTATATCGAGCTAAATATATTTATTTGAAGTTACTTGTCTTGTTGTTCTATTTATGTATTGTTGAAAAATGAGAGTTTATTACTGCCATTTTCATAAGAATTATTTTTAATTAGTTTTTCTATATATTATGTGGTGTACGGATGTATATAATATCAGGAAAACATTTTAATTTTCACCAAATATGTCTTTCGAAGATTTGAAAAGAAATGAAAAACTTTAAAAGAAAACTTAAAGTAAATAAAAGAATGTATACTGAATACATTATATAATAAATATGTACAGGTATTTAATACAAAAACAAAAACAAGTATCTATAACTTAATGATATCTACCATTACCATGGACACAGAAGGCTCCAAATTCCAATATGTATATATATATAATATATAAATTATCTATAAGAAAAAGGTTATGGAAGATGGTTCTGCTGGAATCGAACGTTCTAGAATAAATAATAGACCAATTAGATTTTAGTAAACATTAATTGACAAGCAAAAAATGGAAAATGTATTGTTTGCTTATCAGTAAACGCAAACAAATCTCATCTTAAATTTGGTGCTATATCTAAATGAGATGTGCCAGATACAAAAATATATTAAACCAACATTTTTTTCATATCATGTTTCTTCCCATGTTCGTCTTTTATACATTATTATCTATATATTAGATATAAAGATAAAAACTGAAAAACTTAATGTAAGAGTTGTTGTATGTAACTGGATGAATCATATCAATTAGTATAAGTATAAACACTCTTACATAAGCTATGTATATTATTAATTAATAATCCTGATGTTGTATTACTTCTTCGTGTTGTTCTTGTATAATATTAAGAGTTGCCTCTTAATATCATTACTAAGATGTACTTAAATAAGATGATTACCCCTGGCATATCTCTCAATAATCAAAGGCCTCTTGACAAGATCTGATATAATTCTCACTCCCTGGAAATCCTCCAATCAGATTCAATACCTTCTACGAGCCACTGCGCACATGGACGTACCAATTCTCCACCCAGACACTCAGGGGTTATCCTCGGAATTGCGTATCTATTGGATTTCCAGTTAGGTTCCTTACACTTAACTATAATTTTGTACACTATATATATCAATATAACATTGAAAATTTTTACTTTCTATGCGCAATAACTACAGGCGCTAATTTTCAACAGTATTGTTCCTCTTATCATCTAGGTGAAACCTATTAGATAGAATACGACTATTAATGCTGATAATTATTTCTAGCACCATCTCTTAATAATCACAGGCCTCTCAAAAAAACTTCTCAGTAATTTGCCACTAATGCTCATCCGATGATCGTTCGTCGGTTCGAGCAAACTCACATCCTTGAATACAGCATTTCTGCTGTTCCAAGTTCTTCACCTCAACATTTAGTGTTACCTGCAGGCAACTTTCTTGAGGATTTTCAACAAGAGCTTCTTACAGAGTATACAATCTCAATTCCCATTATTATATATTTATAACTTGCAAAAAATATATTCTAGTTTTTTGATCTTATTTTGTATGTGCGATATATATATATAGAAGTCTACAAAGGATAGAAACATGATACAAAAAATTATTGGCTTTTTTTATTTTTATATCTTGCAACTCTTTTCTACAGGTGGTAGAAGCTTTTCAATTTGTTTTGTCACCAGTTAAATAAACAATACTTATTTTGCACTTTGAAATAGCTTTGTGTTTACTAAGATCTAATTAGTCTTTCTGTTGAAATAAAATGTTCTATAATGAAATAGATAGAACAATAAGATTTTAGTAGACACTAAACGATAAATTGTTGAGTAATAATTGTTGAGAGGTCACCAAAGGTTGTTGAGTTTGTTTATTAAATATCTTACTGTTCGTAGAGGAAAATGGCTTAATATTAACATATATAAAGCCAAGGATTTCATCATACATTTTTTTTATCTTATTTACAATCTTTGTATATTATTATTTTTATGTTGTATATAGAGAAAGAAAGTGAAGAACTTTATTATAATTTTGTATACTAAATCTGTTTAATACAATATTGAGAATGTTTACTATATATCCAATGAATAAAGGCGCTCATTCTCAACACTTTCTATTAATTCTAGAGCATTTGAATTCAGCACATATGAGGATCATTTATAAAACATAATTAGTAGGGCCAGATTGAATCAAAAACTCTTAATGACTCTAATATTTCAGAAGATATATATATGCAGTTGAATAAATATAACATGTTGGGAATCAAAAAAGGAGCAATGTCACAACTGTTAACTAAAGATGCAAAAAGTTAGAAAGATATAGTGGTTTACAGGCTTCTTTTTATTGTAGAATGAATATATATTTTTTAGTCAAGATGCAATTATTTCTATGTACTATTATTATTATCAACGTGTTTTACTTCTATAGAAAATGCAATAAATTTATATAATCTCAATGCATAATAGTAAGGTGGAGTAGCGCTAATATTGCTAGGTTTATGGTTAATGGAACGTACTATGGTCTCTAATTTTTTAATAATAGAATAGTCTGTTAAACAATCAATAATACCAACAAAATAGATTAAATCATTGTTAGATATTGAATTGTTTACATGCTTTATATCAATGGATAATAATGATGGCATATCAGTTGTCTTTAATGTATGAGAGTTATTCTTAAAATGGATTCCAACTAACAACGAATAGTCCATAGTATTCATACTAGCCAATAAATTGACATCCTTCCATAGCTGATTTAGAAAATTTGTTTTTACTTCGCTGTCGTTAAATGTCAACTTTTTACCCTCATGGATCCAATTCAAATCTTTCCTAATATCATTTTCACTATTTTGATTACACACATCCGTGTATCTACCAAATTTGGACCCTTTTAAATCATATGTTAAATCCATTTTAATCCATGGGGGAAAAACATTATACATTACCACCAAGTAAATTTTACGATTTTGTATTCTATTTTTAAAAGACCTTGGTAATTTTACTCTATGTAATCCATAGTATTGGCAAATCATTGTATTAGGATTATCCTTAATGTATTTATAATATGTACTTAAATATTTTCTTAAATGAATATGTTCATTGCGATGGATAGTTTTAATAATATATTTATAATCTTTGGAAAAATAGAAGAATGATCCACTTTTACCTGGTGAATTTAATTCATTTAATACATATTTCGAAGTCAATGATTCCAAATATTCTTTAGTACCTACATTAAAAGTATTTCTTATCTTTAAAAAAATGGAGCCAAAATAATCTTTAAATTCAAATCCAAATGATTCAAAAGATTTTATATTCTCCCCCAAAAAATTACCATTTGTATCAAAAAAATATTTATCGATAGAATTGGTGGAGTATTTTGAAGAATTAGATGTTATTGATTCACATGACACTCTAATCCCAGTCAACATACTACGAACAATATTAAAATTCATATCATTTTCATTAATTCTACGGCCAATAGGATCAGACATAGAGTAGATTGAACCACGATCATTTTTGTTTTGACTTCTAGTCTTCTGGATTACTTTTCTTGCCGAGGCACTAGCTAACAACTCTGATTTAGATTTAGATTTAGACTTTGATACAGTATGAACTGTTGGGGCTGTTGATATTGACGATCCATAAACTGGTTCGTCTGCAGTGTTGGATATCAAAGTGTCTGTATCTACAACAGGAAAAATCTGTGATCTATGTGCAGATGCTTTAAAGGGGAAATTAGATATAATAGATTCTTGTGTCAATCTCCTATTCAATTGAGATGGCCATTTACTTGATATTTTCTTTCGTATATCACTTAGAGATGTGGTTTTTATAGTATTTTTATTAGGATATTCACTACTATTATTGTTATTAGGATTGACTTTATTAACATATTTTTGATTCTTGCAAAATCCATAAACTGAACAATCTACATCTGGCAGGGAAGTGACAATCTTATTTAGTTTGATCATACTATCATCATTAAGAGCTGGTATATTTTTATAATATGATAGAGGAGTGGAACTTATAGAAAATCGTCTATTTATATTACTGGGTGCAAAGCTCCCATGTAACACTGCTAAAGACGACTCTTCTGACCTTTGACCATTATCTGATTGAAAACTTGAAGCTAATACTGAATTTGACTTATTAATAGGTAGATCGTTACGCTGAGATGACTGGTTCACCTCCATTTACAATTGAAATAAAATAATACAATATAATAATGCGTGTATAGAGAGTGATGGGATTTGGTTGACTGTTTGTTTGTATTAAAAACATCAGAAGGTGAATCTAATAAAAAGAGAGTACACATTTATACACACATATTTGGACCTGTACCTTACTTGGAAAACTCCTAGACAGATCTAGCTTCAAGTCTTCGAGAACTTTTGTTCGAACTTTTGATTCTCGATTGACTGTATTCTATTTTGTAGAAAAAAAGTCGCTACCTATGCCGCAGACGGGAATTAAAAAATCCGCATCTAAAGGCACAAAGAAATGGGAAGTGAAGTTCAAGGATCTTTAGATCTTTTACTGCTGTTGTCACAAATATTGTATGTTTATACACAGCCTTTATTAGATACTATACAGTGTGGTATTGGGGATTTAGAAGATATTTAGATTAATAATTGGACTTACTATGAACATCTTCAAAATACAAAATTCTATCAAATAACCAAATATATATGTAAACTTGTTCATACATACTTGAAAAAATTTGTACAGTGTTCACCAGTAATTATTCTTTGTCTTTTCCTTCACTGTTTCTTCTTCTTGCAATTTTATTGTAGTTCCACATTTATTATGGTGTAAAAACCGTTTCATTGACGTTACAATTGCTATCAATTTTAATTCAGTTTCTTGTTCCTTACTTAAAAGACACGTCCTTGGTGCATTGCCTGTTAATCTATTAATAAAGTTATCCATATGAAACACTTCTGTATCGTTGAAATCAGTTAAGCTATAACCAATACATGTGAAGTCCCGTAATAAAACATCATCCATAAATAGATATGATCTTTTAGGTTTTTCATTTTTATATGAAATCCAACTGTATCTGGAAGATTTATTAATTTGATTAATAAATTCAGATATTATGTGGCAAATGGGTAAATATCTATGTGCAAACCTTAAAACAGGAATGTGTGATTTTATCCAACAATTCATAACTCTTAAAATAGTTAAAAATGGATCAATTCTATTTATATCAATTTCATCATAGGATATCATTTTATTAATATATGTTATAATGTGGAATAAAATATCGAATACAAATCTTATAAACAATTTATGAATTCTCTCATTCCAATGAACAAAAGAAGAAACCGCTGATAGTGACTTTTTATCATTAGCATTGCTATTTTCCATAATTAATGTTGATATTCCGATCATAGTAATAATTATGTCAATCCAAAATTCATGATACATGAACACTTGAGGATCTTGCAGTTTTAATAAAATATTAGATTTCAGCTCTAAAATTTCTCCATTCTCGTCAATTGAGTTGTTTGTTTGATTAAATTTTGAATTATTTAGTAAAAGATAGTATCTAATAATTTCCATAGTACTACTCACAAGGTCATATTCAATATTATCCATTTTTTCAAATTGTCTATTCTCTCTTCTCCAATATCTTTCTTTGAAAAAATCTATAATATCATTATAACTATTTGCTTTTGAACTATTAGACCTGGCAAAATAACATCTTACATGATAAAATATTGCCTTTGAATAATTATTACAATGTAAAAATACTTTAGATAGTTGCTTATAACTCTCATCCATGGATGGCACTACAATTGTCGCCATAATCCAGTATCTTTTAGCCTTTTGGAAAATATCATTAGTCTTCAGTAATTCAACATGCTTATTCCTTTTATACTTTATATGGAGTGGATCTTCTAATATTGTTTGGTGGTACCGTATCTTACCTAGATATAGTAGACAATAATAAAATGACAATACCACATGAACTGTTCCCTTATCTGTAGTTTGCAACAAATAACGATTTTTAGCTAAATGAGATAATTTCTGAATATGATTTCCTAAATTTAAACCACTAGTTACCTGTGTTGATATCACTAACGATGTATCAAAATAGCATATAATATATTCTAAAATCTGATAATAAAATCTATGGAAAATCTTCATTAACTTAGATAATTTTGATTTCATAATACGGAACTCAACAGTAATATTACCTTTACGATTATTGTGAGACCTTCCTTTGGCAGATATGTTAGATGTTTCCTTTAATAATTGCTTCCATTTATAAAACCATTCAATGCATAATGATTGATATCTATTCCATATAATAGGAAGTATTGGTTCAATGTGTTCATTAATGCATGATTTGTTTGAAGAAATTGATAAACCACTAATTTGTTCCAATATTTGATCCCTTAAAACTGTATGCTGTTCTTTTAATCGGATATTTAAAAACTCATTATTATACAGAACACTATTCAATTCATAGTCTAAAGTAAAAATAAACTTTTTCAATTGCTCTGATATATTACTATTATTATTATTACGCTTGCTACTTATCATCATATATTCCCATTTTTCTATCCAGTATACTTTATAAAACAAAGAAGCACACCAATTCCATTATATTACCTAATTAAAAAAAGCCACACACAGCATGAATAGACTTAAGCTTTTCTTTCATTCTTTAGACTGACTGAGTGAGTACCCTGCAACAAACACTACTTTTTCTTTTAAATATTTAATTGATTTCATGTACGTTTGTAGGTTGATTTTTTTTTTTTTGTAGAAGATTTTAGTGATTTTTAACAACATTAAAGAGTCTATCTGATGATTAAAAGAAAGATAATAGAGAAATAAAATGATTAGCTTATGCCATCAAGTGATCAAGTTTAGCTAAACGCCTGATCTGAAACTATAATTTAGTCTTAGTTAATTAAGTTTAAGCCAACTGCTTATTTTTACTTTTGTTTTTTTATTGAACCTTTCCAGTTATCATTTTATTATTATTGGAATAAACCTATGTTTTAACAAACTATAATGAAAATTTTGTGCGTAGCAGAAAAGAATTCGATAGCTAAATCTGTAGCTGCTATCCTTAGTGGTGGAAGGTCAACTTCTAGGGCCTCTGATTATGTATATGTCAAAAATTATGATTTCGTGTTCCAAGGATTCCCATTTGCACCTTATTCATGTGAAGTAACAATGACTAGTGTGGCAGGACATTTAAATGGTGTAGATTTTGATGGGCAGCAATATGGTTGGGGTAAAAGTGATCCATTTACATTATTTGATGCTCCATTGATTGAGACTATGGATAAGAATCAAAAACAAATTGCAAGTAATATACGTAAAGAGGCTAGAAATGCAGATATTTTGATGATTTGGACGGATTGTGACAGAGAAGGTGAATACATAGGATGGGAAATATACCAGCAAGCACGGCAAGGAAACAGAAATTTAGTAGATAATAATGTTTATAGAGCAATATTCTCACATTTAGAAAGAAGTCATATTCTCTATGCTGCAAGGAACCCAAAGAGACTTGATCAAAAAAGTGTAGATGCCGTAGCAACCCGTATTGAGTTAGATCTAAGAACAGGTGTAGCTTTTACTAGATTGCTCACAAATACTATGGCTTCAAGAGTTCAATCAAGTATAAATTCTGAGCAAGTCAGACTTAATAATAGTAATAATAATGGGAATAAAAAGGAAAAAATTATCATATCATATGGACCTTGCCAATTTCCAACACTAGGTTTTGTGGTAGATAGATTTGAAAGGATACGAAATTTTGTTCCTGAAGAATTTTGGTATATTCAATTGCAGGTGGAAAGTAGAAATGACAACGATGATAACAATATTGGATTTGAAACATCATCAACAACATTTCAATGGGAAAGAGGGCATATCTTTGATCGGCATAGTGTTCTATCTTTATATGAAATGTGTCTTGAAATTGGAGGTGATGAAGCAACAGTATGTGATCTAAAATCGAAACCTTCTACAAAATACAGACCTTTCCCATTGACAACAGTTGAATTACAAAAGAATTGTGCTAGATATTTCAGAATTAACGCAAAACAATCTCTAGCAGCTGCTGAAAAATTGTATCAGATGGGATTTATATCTTATCCAAGAACTGAAACAGATACATTCCCAGATACTATGAATTTAAAGGATTTAATTGAAAAACAAGCACAAAGAAACCAGGATTTTGCTAGTAGGACTCCCTGGGCATCCTATGCTGCAACTCTATTAGATGAAAATTCTCCAAATAACTTTACTTTTCCTAGAAGTGGGAAACATGATGATAAGGCACATCCACCGATTCATCCTATTATACCATTAGGTAAAAATGCACAGATTGATGCTACCGAAAGAAAAGTGTATGAATATGTGGTACGACATTTTTTAGCATGTTGTTCAGAAGATGCTAAAGGACAGACAACAACATTAACATTAGATTGGGTCGGAGAGAAGTTTACTGCTACTGGGTTAGTTGTTCTTGAAAGGAATTTTTTAAGTGTCTACCCATGGGCCAAATGGGAAACCACAAAGCAATTGCCAAAATTGGAATTAGGTTCTGTTTGTACATTGAGCAAAGCAGAGATGAAATCAGGAATGACTTCAACACCTAAACCTATGACAGAGAGTGAATTGATTGTGTTAATGGATACTAATGGTATCGGTACAGATGCCACTATTGCTGATCATATCGAAAAGATTCAGACTAGAAATTATGTTCGAAGTGAAAAATCAGGAAAGGAGACTTTTTTACAACCGACTACACTAGGGATAGCATTAGTTCATGGATTTGAAGAGATTGGATTAGAAGATTCATTTACTAAGCCGTTTCAAAGGAGGGAAATGGAGGAAGATTTGAAAAAGATATGTCAGGGGAGTTAACCAAGGAAATGGTAGTCTTCGATATTATTGAAAAATACAAAGGCTATTGGATGAGGACTAATCAATCAAAAAATGTTCTCTTGGACGTCTATAATCGAATCAGTAGATCTATGACATAAATCAAGATATAGCACTCCTATGGCTTTAGATACATTATTACGCATACTGATGTGATGAGAAGATGTCCTTTATCATTATCTGCATTTTTTTTATTTATCAACTATTATATTGCATCCACACAGATATATAAAAATGTATAAATATTCCATATTAATTACAAAGATTGTCCGAGTGATCTTCTTTGTTTTAGAATATGTTTAGTAGGGCAATAGTTCTATTAGTATGTATCATTTTCCTCCTTTTCATTCCTTTGTATTTGCTTAAAGATGACTTATTAAAAGTATATTATTTTTAATAAAAGAAAATGAAAAATAAATTTGAGACATGATTGCCATCATAAGAGAAACATGAGAAACCATTCTACTATCAATTGTTAGTAAATAAATCTACACCAAAAGTTGGAAGGTGAAATTCCTATTCAATTACTTGTAACTAAGCTGATTTATATTTTTAATATTACTGTTTTTTATTATGAGCACAGAACTGTACCCATATGATTATTTTGGTGGACCAGAGGAATATGACTTTAACAAAGACAGACAAAACGAACAAAAATGGCTTATAAATGAAATCATACGACCTGAATTACCTAATATTATTGATAATGTGGAAAAATGTATTGATATGTTGTACAGTGATCAGTTATTTAAGATGCCTATAACTAGTGGTGTCAAAAAAAATGCAAGTTCTCCTTCTATACGTGGAGTAGTGACTAGACATGGTATAAATATTGTTGATTTTCAAATGGCTTTACAATTTCCTCAATTTGACAAGGGTAAAATAATTATATGTAAGATGGATTCTGGCAAGAAATTCACATTGTTACAGTTAGATAGTATTGGAAAGAATTTACAACAGGTCTTACTATTGTTAGAAGGTTTAGAAGTAGAAAAAGATTGTGTTACTTTTATAGATAAATTTAAGCAATCTTTACAATTAATAACCAAATCGATAAATATTTTACAAAATCCACCAAAAGATTTGCTATTTCCATATAATAACAATATAATCGTGAAACGGATGTTTGCGAATCCTGAACAGTTCTGTGAATCTACACATCATAAGATAAGTTTGGAACTGATTGTCTATAAAAGTGAGTTGACCATGGATTTTCGTAATTTAGCTAAAGTGACTAAAAAACCATGGTGTGATATTGATCCAGTGAGTGGGAAATCCGTTGTTGATAAAATTAAAGAATCATTAAAATCTAATAGAGGCAAAAAATTGAATGAAATACTGGAAGAGCAGAATATTATATTAGAAGAATCAAATCTTTTAAATAATTTTATAATAACTACATTTAATAAAGAAAGTACCACATTACAACAAGCCCAAGACTTTATATCTAGATGTATAACATTTGATGGGAAAGTCGTTACAGAATGCGAAAAACTTCAAACCACCACAAGTGACCCAAGTTTAATTAGTATTGTATCTAAATTAAATGCATTGGAACATACTATTGGCAATCATTTCACTAATCTTGAAATATGAGGACAAGAATATTAATATTAAAAAATGTTATTATATATATATATGTATGTATATATGTATAAATGTGTAAGTGTGTAAGTGTGAAGTGCTTATTTACAGGCAATATTGAATTGATCTTTAATTATTTATTATTATTTTTTTTCAACGTATCAGATTTTGTCACTTGAGTTCTTTCTATTTTGTTAATTCCCAATAATTTGGCTAATTGTTTGACAAAATTTATAGCAATAATTTCAGGATCTGCTTGTAAATCAAGTCTTTGTTCTTGAACTGATGTATGTTTCCCGTTATGGATCCCACAAAGATCAAATGAATTCATATAGGATAAGTCGGTATTTACATTTATGGAAACCCCATGTGATGTTATAGATCTTCTGACATGAATTCCAATACTTGCAATTTTAGCATCGTATATTGTCCAAACTCCAGTATTTTCTGTTAATTTGGTCTCAATATTTAATAGTGTATCAGAGATTTTAGTTTCTTTAAGTGTATTCATTGCAGCATGTTCAATGGTATAAATCAATCTTTTTGCAGAAAAATCTTTAAAAGCCTTTAAGTCCAATATTAAATAGGCAACGACTTGACCTGGACCATGGAAAGTGATTTGACCACCACGTTCAGTTTGAACAAATTTAGGTGCCAAAACAGTTTTTTCACTTTTTCCAGTAGGTTGAAAGGTTTCGAATTGCTCAATCAAATTTTTTGTGATCATTTTCTTAATTCGTTTTCCGCCTGTATAAGTTGGTTCAAATTGGAAAGTTAAAACCATTGGGTTCGGTTTCATAGCTAAAATATTATCAATAATTTCTTTCTCAGCTGGATTCAATACACTCTTAGGATATTCTTCTTGTAATTCAGCTAACTGTTTTTTTATTTTACTTTGTAATTGCTTGAAATCTAGATTAGCTCTAACAAATTTTTCCTGTATTTCAAGTCCTTTCTTGAAGGGAAGTAGTTGAGTGAATTGTAAATGGTGTAAAACTTCAGCAGCAGGTTCAATCGGAGTAGTTATTGGGACAGATACTTTAAAACGTACCAACTTTTTCCAAAACCTTGAGTGTTGTAAAAAGTTTTTTAGAGTTGTGAGTTGAGTACTGCCAGTAGATATTACCATCAATATATTTATTCTCAAATTATTTCAGATGTACAGATAAAAACAAAAATTAAACAAAAAAAAAAAAAAAAAAGATCAATTCAATAACGATTGTAATTGCCACTAAGTTTTACCTTAGTTCAGTATCATTTGTATATGTAGCCTAACTGATATTAAAGTTTGATATATTCTGATAACAGTAAAACAACTAGATATATGGGTTATTTAAGCATTTTTCTTTATTATCATTATACTGCTATACTTATTTTATTCCTTTTCAATATTATTATCCTTGTTCTTTAAATCTTCTATTCCGAAAAACCCGCAGACGGCTTGGTTATTCTAACAAATTCCGTCGTAATGCCGCAATTTTGAAAGAAATTTATCCAAAAAATATATATATATATATATATAGATTAAGTTAGTGTTCGATTTCTGTTAGTAACTTAAACCTGTTATTTGTCACGTGACTAAAGGTAAAGTAGTTTACAAATTCTTTGGGAAAGCTTTACAGATGGACCAATGATCAATAACAACCTGCTGTTTTGAATAATTAGAAACAGTTATTAAGATATACAAAGAGGCTAGTTCAAGGGTATAGGTAGCCACGGAATTGCTTAGGTTTATTCTGTGCCTTGTTGTCTTTTTTTGTTAAAGAGCAATTATTATTATTGTTATAACGCTAATAATAATAATGTTTTAATAATTTAATACAAAGGGTATGGCAGATAATTGGTTGTTTCAATCTATTCACCATTTTTCATTTAGTTTTATTTGTCTGAAGTAAAACATATGTATATTGCTACTGTTACTATTAAATAGAATATGAAGAATATCACATATGCAATTTCTCAAGATTTGGCTGTGCCATTTCAAATTAAAATACATTCATTAGAAGGCGAGAAACCACTGTTAAAAGCTTCCAGTAGAATTAAAAACTCACAATTGACACAAATAGAGTCTAATATTATCAGTTGTAGTCAAATGCAAGTGTCAGTTCAGGTCATCGATAAAAAAAGTGATAGGAATTTGACTTTACCCGTTATTACACCATATATACCATTTAAGGGGACTAGAAAATGGGATTATTGGATAACTTTACCTATACAGACACAACAATTGACTCCTTCATGTTATTTAAACATTATACTGTGGGAATATGATGGGTTTAAGAGGGTTCCTTTCTATCAACTGGTAACAAGTATATTTAATAAAGACACATTTCAATTAAAAAGAGGTTATGAGTTTATTAAATTTCAATACGATGATTTAAATAGTGTGGAATGTTTACAAGATGATGAAATTTATAATAATCTTAATAAATTTTGTTTGGGTGAATTTAAAAGAACTAAATGGTTAGATAAATTAACTTTACAAAATTTGAACAATTTAAAATTGACGAGAAGTTGGCCGTTGGGGACTTTTGTATTGAATCTCGAATACCCAGTATACGAATTTCCAATCATTTATACAGATTTAGGATCTAACCAACATCCATCAAATATTCCTTGTTTTGATAACTTTGAAAAGTTGAATAGCAACATTACCAATAATTTAATGTACAATAATGACACAAAAAATACCACAAAAATAGGGAATGAATCAAATATGACGATATCCCTTGGTGATAAACATGAGTCCACTTTAAAATTTTTTGACCCTGATCAATACAATTATGACCCTATTGAAGAAAAATATAGACGTTTGGAAAGAGCATCACAACATTCAGATTTCGATAAAAGAATTAAGCCCACAATTAAAAAACGTGATTATTTAAAACATATAATGGAATATCCATCTGGACGACAATTAAGTGCTCATGAAAAGGGATCAATATGGAAATATCGTTACTATTTAATGAATAACAAAAAAGCATTAACTAAATTGTTAAAAAGTACTAATATGTCAGAAGAATCAGAGAGAACAGAAGTATTGGAATTAATGAATACTTGGTCTGAAATTGATATTGAAGATGCGATTGAATTGTTGGGACCTTCTTTTACAAATATATCTGTTCGATCTTATGCAGTAAAGAGATTGAAAAAAGCATCTGATCAAGAATTAGAGTTGTATCTATTACAACTAGTTCAAGCATTGTGTTTTGAGAATGTATCAAATCTAGCAGATTTATCAAATAGTGATTTTACTATTGTTAGTGATGTCAATAATTCGCAGAACCAACGTTTTATACAATCAATACAAGTTACAAAAAGTTTTAGTGACACAATACCTGATTCAAATTCAAAAAGCAAATACAATAATTACATTGAAGATAGTTCAGAGAATCAATTGCCTATTGTAATTTCACCTTTAGCAGAGTTTTTAATTACAAGAGCTTTAAGCAATATAAGATTAGGAATATTCTTTTACTGGTATTTAAAATCTGAATCCAAAGATAATCCTTGTTTACAACAAATAATGCAATCGTTTTGGGATAGACTAGATCTAAATAATCATGAAATATTGAATCAACAGGCTACATTAGTTGATCTTTTAAATCAATGTTGTCTTGAAGTAAAAAATTCCAAAGATTCTATTACTAAGAAGACAGAGTTATTAAGTGAAATATTAAGAACTAATATAAGACATTTTTTGAAAGGAAAGGCTATTATATTACCATTAGATCCAGGCATAAAGATTGTCGATGTGGTACCTGAACAATCTAGAGTTTTCAAAAGTTCATTATCGCCTTTAATGATAACTTTTAGAACAGATGATAATTCTACTTATTCATTAATGTATAAAGTTGGAGACGATTTAAGGCAAGATCAATTTGTGCTTCAAATTATTCGCTTAATGGATGTATTATTGAAAAACGAAAATGTTGATTTAAAACTAACTCCATATAAGATATTGGCCACTGGTTCCCAAGAAGGGTCTATGCAATTCGTCCCTAATGAAACTATGGCTACAATTTTAAGTAAGTACCATGGTGTTTTACCTTATTTGATACGTAATTTTGGGGATTCCAATTCTGAGTTAGGTGTCCAAGATTGGGTAATGGATAATTTTGTTAAGTCCTGTGCAGGATATTGTGTGATAACTTATATACTTGGTGTTGGTGATAGGCATTTAGACAATCTGCTGATAACAACAGATGGTCACTTTTTCCATGTGGATTTTGGTTATATTTTGGGGCAGGACCCTAAACCTTTCCCACCATTAATGAAGCTACCACCACAGATCATAGAGGCGTTTGGTGGTGCAGGATCCTCTAATTATAATAAGTTTAGAAGTTACTGTTTTGTAGCATATTCAATTTTAAGAAGAAATGCTGGCTTAATTCTAAACCTTTTTGAATTAATGAAATCCAGTGATATACCAGATATCCGTATTGATCCTGACGGGGCTATATTAAAAGTTAAAGAACGGTTCAATCTTGATATGTCTGAAGAGGAAGCTACAGAACATTTTCAAACCTTAATTAATGATAGTGTTAATGCTTTATTACCCATTGTTATCGATCATTTGCATAATTTAGCCCAATATTGGAGATCTTAAATCAAATAAGAAACTTCAAATAAAGTAAACACATAAATAATAATTTATAATTGTTTGTATAGAACATCCAATATTTATGATTTTAATAACCAGGTTGATAGAGAATTTTATAAATTAACTTCCATTATATCTGTTATAATTATATATATATATAACACATTTTTGCATGGTAACTTTTTTTTACTTGAAGGAAACTTTTATTGATTCATATACTATTTTAGTACTTTTATTTTTCTGTATTTTGGTAAGGATGGAAAAGTCATAATAGTGACCAAATGTGCATAATGAAGAATTAGAAAGAACAGTTCCATTTGAAGAAAAAAAGTATATATATGTTTTTAGAAGCTACAACAACATTATTCAGACTGACTGTGCTTAATTTGATGTTTATTCATTTATTTCTGATACTTTTACAACAACAATATTAATAATAATAATACCAGTAGTACGAATAGTAAAGACAAACAAAGAGTAACTCAGAAATGATACAGGATTACTTTTTATTTCATACAAATAATACAGACCCAGATAAAATTGTTAGCCTACGAATAAGTAGTGTTAATGGAAGTAACCCTCCAGATTTTAGAAAACCCACCTCCATGGTGGTGACTACTCAGTTAGCAATTGCCACATTTTTAGGATTATTTGCATTTTTGTCTTTCTCACTGTTATTGAAAAAGTTACCTAAGTTATATGCTAGTAGGAAATATAAGAATAATGGAAGTCTGCGACTTCCCTCATGGGATAATAATAAACTTTTTGATTGGATTCCCGTTTTATATAATATCACCGATGAACAAGTATTAGAATACTCAGGATTAGATGCATATGTGTTTTTAGGTTTTTTCAAAATGGCTATTAAATTATTATCTATTTATATTGTATTTTCATTTGGTATAATATCACCGATTAGGTATCATTTTACTGGGCAATATGATGATGGTTCTGATGATAATAACTCTAATAATTTATATAAAACATATTCGAACACAGTTGGACGGTTAACAAAGAGATTAGTAAATAATGTAGGGACTGTAGGTAATTCATTAAATACAATTCCAGAGAATGCAGGAGTATATCTCTGCATGTATGTCATATTCACTTATTTATTCACATTTATAGCTATTAATATTCTGATGTCCCAGACAAAATTGGTTGTAAGTACAAGACAAAATTATTTAGGTAAACAAAATACAATCACAGATAGAACTATTAGATTATGGGGGATTCCAGTAGAATTGCGTGATATAAAAGCATTAACAACAAGAATTGAACAACTAAAGATTGGAAAAGTTGCCTCTGTTACAATATGTAGGGAGTGGGGTCGTTTAAATAAATTATATCATAAAAGGAATCATATTTTGAGACAACTTGAATTAAAGTATGCTGAGTGTCCACGAAGTTTGAGAAATGAGAATTCGGCATTTGTAGAAAACTACCCTTTGGATCATAATAATGCTCCAGTAAACACTTCAGATGTCTCCAATAATCTAAAACCTACTACAAATACATATGTTTCTTCAAACAGGCAATCTGATAATCCAATTATAGTGGAAACTCTACTTGAACAGCCATTTAATAATCAAAATCATGGTAGTATAAATCTACTAAATACAATGCAAAATTCAAGGGTGAGAACAGAAATGGGAGGAGAAGAGGACAGTAATGTGATATATTCCCAAATTCAGTTAAAAAATAAGAGACCAACAATAAAGATTGGATTATGGGGACTTTTTGGAGAGGAAGTGGATGCTATTAACTATTTAGAAAAACAATTAACGGTTATTGACACAGAAATTTTACAAGCCAGAAAACAGCATTATTCTGCTACACCTACAGCATTTGTTACTATGGATTCTGTAGCTAACGCTCAAATGGCGGCACAGGCGGTTCTTGATCCAAGAGTTCATTATTTTATTACTAGATTAGCACCAGCTCCTCATGACATTAAATGGGATCATGTCTGTTTATCAAGAAAGGACCGGCTTGTTAAAATATATTCAGTAAGTGTATTTATTGGTATTTGTAGTATATTTTTGATCTTACCAGTATCATATTTGGCTACTTTATTGAATCTAAAGACAATATCAAGATTTTGGCCATCACTTGGTTATTTATTGGAAAAAAACCAATGGGCACAAAATATTGTTACAGGGCTATTGCCAACTTATCTTTTTACAATAATGAATGTGGTCATTCCATATTTTTATGAATATTTAACTGGATATCAAGGGTTTGTGTCACATAGTGAAGAAGAAATATCACTGGTGTCAAAGAATTTCTTTTATATTTTTGTTAATCTATTTTTAGTGTTTACTTTAGCTGGTACTGCATCGAATTATTGGGGCTATTTATCAGATACTACTAAAATAGCTTATCAATTGGCCACATCAGTAAAAGAATTTTCATTATTTTACGTTGATTTAATAATTTTACAGGGCATCGGTATGTTCCCATTTAAACTATTATTAGTGGGTAGTCTGATCGGGTTTCCATTGGTTAAAATACAAGCAAAAACACCAAGACAGAGAAAGGAGATTTATAATCCGCCAATTTTCAATTTTGGTTTACAATTACCACAACCCATATTGATATTAATAATAACTTTAATTTACAGTGTTATGAGTACTAAAATAGTAGCATCAAGCCTTGCATATTTTGTTATTGGTTATTATGTTTATAAATATCAATTAATATATGCAACGGACCATCTACCACATTCAACAGGAAAAGTTTGGCCATTAATTTTTAGACGGCTTATTATGGGTCTTTTATTATCACAACTGACCATGACAGGTACATTAGCAGGGTTTGAAGGTGGTTGGGTGTTCTCATCATGGTTATTACCATTACCATTTATTACCTTAAGTTTCCTTTGGGATTTTGAAACTAATTATTTGCCATTATCACAATACATTGCATTAAGTTCAATTAGAGAACATGAAAGAGATAATTCTTTAGTATCTACACAATTTGAGGAAGAAACATATGAATATCCATTTTTAGTGGGAAATTTGGAGAAACCCATGGTTGAATAAATGTTTAGTAATTGCTTAAAGACAAAATTGAGAGGAGTTTATATAAATGCAATAAGGAAAGTGAGTAAAAATATTCTTAAAGAATATATAATAAATATTTATACCTATATATTTATATTTATATATAATGCAAGGTTGACTTGAATTCATGAATTAAATAAGTAACCAAATGTGTCATATAATTATGATTATTACTGTTTCTTGTTAATAGAATAAACAATAGACTTTTGATTACAACAAATTTAATTAACGATGATATGATAAAAATTGAAATCACAATTAAATATGATAGATTGGTTACTATTTTAAGTGATTCGATGAGATAAAGATTTGCGATATATTTAATAATATTCATTGAAAGTAGTGTGTCATAAGGCCAAATTATCATTAAAATTGGGAAAATTTTAGCTCCATAAGACAATAAGATTGTGTAAGAAATAATATATTTTGAATATATAATATTATGGCCCCAACCGATTAGAGTACAAATAAACCATTGAACTAAAAAGTGGGAAATACTTAAATCTAATAGAGAATACAATGCAAAATAGAGATAAGGATAAACAAAAGTATATTTCGTGGATAATAGATTGGAATAAAATGTATTGAAAAGGATTATTGATGATTTACCCCTTTTTAAATTTTCTTCTTCAAAGATCCATTTTAAATAAATATCAAAAGTGAATAAAAGTATCCATAGTCTAATCAAGGTATCGAATTTATTTTCCCAATCCATAAATTTTTTAACAATTTTTGTTAAATAGTAATAGTAGGGATTATTAATAGTTGTGTTAGATGATTTTGTGGTTGAGCCTTTGGACAAGAATTGGGATTCTAAGGAATTATAGACTAAATGTCTATAAGCACCAGGTTTTAAAAGTAAGAGATCGATAAAAAGAATCACATTATCAATTTCCACATATTTGTCAACCTCTGAACCACAATGAGAGCAATCTGTTAATTGAATATGGTTATGTGAATAAATTACATAAAGGGATTCTGCTGGGTGAGTACAATTGATACATATCATCCCATTAACGAAAATAGAGTAGAAAATAGTTAAAAGATAATAATAAAAGATATTTGTATTGATAGGAGTTCAAACAAATTGCTAGTTTAGTCTCAATTCCTTCAAATTTTATTGGTAACAACAGGGATCAGTTAGCAAGAGCAGGTATTTTACAGAGTGTTCTGTGTGTTATTATATATTTTTTCTTATAGTAATGACAGAAAATATTTTTTACAATTTTTCATTTCAACCAAGGATTTTTTTTTACTCTTGTGATGTAGTGTGAAATATGAGATGAAGTGGGATATTAAATACGCAATACGAATATCTTACCCAGAATACATACATAGCAGTCTCTAGAGATAAGGTTTGGGATATTAAGTGAGTTTGTATAAAACTGTGTCTGTATTAAAGAAGGCAAAATAAAGTAGTATTGCAAAAGAAGAGAAAAAATAAATAAGTATGTCCAGAGTAGGTGTTATGGTTTTGGGACCTGCAGGTGCAGGTAAAAGTACCTTTTGCAATTCTATTGTATCACATATGCAAACTATCGGTCGTAGATCACATATTGTGAACTTAGATCCTGCTGCAGAGCCAAACAAATATGAATTTACTATTGATATTAGAGATTTGATATCTTTGGAAGATGTAATGGAAGAGATGTCACTTGGTCCCAATGGTGCATTAATATATTGTTTTGAATATCTCTTACAAAATCTGGATTGGTTGGATGAAGAAATTGGAGATTATAATGATGAATATTTGATCTTTGATTGTCCAGGCCAGATCGAATTGTACACACATATCCCAGTTCTACCAAATATAGTGCGTCATTTACAACAACAATTGAATTTCAATCTATGTGCGACCTACTTATTAGAAGCGCCATTTGTAATAGATACATCTAAATTTTTTAGTGGTGCATTATCTGCAATGTCAGCCATGATTTTATTAGAGCTACCTCATATTAATATTTTAAGTAAAGTTGATTTAGTAGCCAATGAATATAGTAAAAGAAAGTTGAAGAGATTTTTAAACCCAGATTCGATGTTATTAGCAGATTCTGTTAATCAAGAAACAAATGCAAAATTCCATAAATTAAATCAATGTATTGCACAATTAGTTGACGATTTTGGCATGGTACAATTTTTACCATTGGAAGCAGAGAATCCTGATAGTGTTTCTACAATTATATCGTACATTGACGATGTTACACAGTGGGCAGAAGCTCAAGAACCAAAGGAGCCAAATGATCAAATAGATATTGAAGATTTATGAAACAATAGGGATACAGTAAAATAGAAGCACATAGAAAGGTGAGGAGAGGACTGCAAGATGAGGTTGTCCATTTGTTATAAGCACTCATTTTCTTTTTTTCCTTTTTGTGGTTATAAAGTATTTACAGAATGGTATCGTATATTATATTGACTCTATAGAATGTTAGCATAGATAAACTTTAAAGAGATTTTAATAGTGAAAGCCATATATATGTAATGAAATATATTGAACAGTATGATTACCTTAGAGACTTATTGATGGTCCATTCAAGTTCATTCTGACATTGTGACAAGTTATATTTGGTTTATAGTGATGAGTGTTGTATTGATAACACCCACACACCATCTAATCTTGTCTCACGATATTTGTAGGAGACGAAAAATTTTTGTAAGATACCTTTGGAAATGTGCGATACTACTGTTAATAAGAGATATGTAGATGCATCCTGTAAACAACTGCTCTATTTCCAATTCTATGCGTAAGTCGGAGTGTTAAGAACAGAATTGCATCGAGGATACTGGTAATATTTTTTTAGGTGAGATTGTGTCCCGCAAGATATAATTACATGAATCGGTAAAGAATGGTGGCAATAAGTGAAGTAACTAACAATAACAACAACAATAATAATAAAGTTGCATCTTCTAATTCTACACAGCATGGTGCAAATAGAACTGCTGCTCATACACATATTAAAGGTCTTGGATTAGATTCTCAAGGGGTAGCTAAATCTGTGGAAGGTGGTTTCGTTGGTCAAATAGCTGCTCGTGAAGCATGTGGTGTTATTGTTGATCTTATTAAAGCTAAGAAAATGTCAGGAAAAGCTATTTTATTGGCCGGTGGTCCATCTACCGGTAAGACTGCTTTAGCTCTGGCTATTAGTCAAGAGTTGGGTCCAAAAGTTCCATTTTGTCCCCTTGTTGGTAGTGAACTTTATTCTGCAGAAGTTAAAAAGACTGAAGCTTTGATGGAGAACTTTAGAAGAGCTATCGGTCTTAGAATTAAAGAAACAAAAGAAGTCTATGAGGGTGAAGTCACTGAACTTACACCAGAGGATGCTGAAAATCCATTAGGTGGTTATGGGAAGACCATATCACATGTTATTATTGGATTAAAATCTGCAAAGGGTACAAAGACTTTAAGATTGGATCCAACTATCTATGAAAGTATTCAAAGAGAAAAGGTGAATGTTGGAGATGTCATTTATATTGAATCTAATACTGGTGCAGTGAAACGTGTTGGTAGATCAGATGCATATGCCACTGAATTTGATTTGGAGACAGAGGAATACGTTCCACTACCAAAGGGTGAAGTTCATAAGAAAAAAGAAATTGTACAAGATGTAACATTACATGATTTGGATGTAGCCAATGCCAGACCTCAAGGTGGTCAAGATGTAGTATCAATGATGGGTCAATTATTAAAACCTAAGAAAACAGAGATAACAGAAAAATTAAGACAAGAAGTTAATAAAGTAGTGGCTAAATATATAGACCAAGGTGTAGCAGAACTAGTTCCAGGTGTCTTATTTATTGACGAGGTTAATATGCTAGATATTGAAATATTCACATATTTAAATAGAGCGTTGGAATCAAATATCGCACCTATTGTTGTCCTTGCATCCAATAGAGGTATGACTACCGTTCGGGGTACTGAGGATATTGTTTCTCCACATGGTATTCCACCTGATTTAATTGATAGATTATTGATTGTCCGCACTTTACCATATAATAAAGATGAGATTCGTACAATTATTGAAAGAAGATCCAAAGTGGAGGGTTTAGAGTTAACAAATGAAAGTTTAGACTTTTTGGCTGATTTAGGTGTTGCTACTTCTTTACGTTATGCTTTACAATTATTATCCCCTGCAGGCATACTGGCACAAACTTTTGGACGTAACGAAATTGCAGTAAGCGATATCGAAGAAGCTAAAACACTCTTTTTGGATGCTAAGAGATCAACTAAAATTTTAGAGACTACTAAAAACTATTTATAACTTTTTACTTCTTTTTTTATGTCTTTATTTTATTGATACTCTATATATATTGAATCACAATAAATATTAATAAGTGTTATATACTATAACGATCTTATATTCTGAATCTGTTTATTTTTTACAATATTTAAGAGATATTAAGACGATAGTCATAAAACTATATATATATACATACATCTATATATATTGACTATTGAAATCAAATGATTATTGTCTAATGTTCCTCAATATTTTTCAATCATCAGCCCCAAGAATAGAGATTTCTTTTAAGAAGTCATCTGGAGGTGTAATAGCAGTACTACCATAAATAACTTTCTTCGGATTATGAATTTGAGAATGTGCCCATTCTTGTAAGTTTTGATACTCCAAATAATTACCACCTCCTACGACAAAGACCATGGATTTGTTGTAAGATTGTCTTTTTGGTTTTTTTGTATGAGATCCCCTTGTGATTCTTGGATCAATATATAAATAACTGTCTGTTGTTTCTAGATTTTTTTGTGAACTGTTCAGTGGATCCATGATGGCTTCTACTACATTAGTGATGGGGATTGTTTTCTTTTCTGGTAATAGATTTTTAATACCAGAGATTAAATTACCTACACTCTTTGGTAATTTTCCCTCAGTCAATCCATATAATTTCGAAAGACTATAACCAGCATTATTACTATTATTGTTTGCCACTTGCCCATCATCTAATGATCTATTTTGTAAGTTTAGAGAAGAAATTTGCATGTATTCTCTTAATTTATAAACATATTTTAGTGGACTAATATCATAATTATGTGATTTGAAATATTTTTCGACCTCATCTACGAATTCCTTTGGTAAACCCTTTGATGAAGTTAAAAACAAATAGATGAAAGTTCTCATTTTATCATTCAAATTATTAATTTTGTTATCGTTTAAAATATTCATGAAATTAGTTCTAAGTTTTGCGTTATTGGGGTCTTGTTCAATTTCAAAAAAGGTATCAAGACTTTTACTTTCTAATTCGTTTAATAGTGAACCAAAAATATTAACATGTGTATCAATGGTATTCTTCCTTGCAGTTAATTCGGGTAATTTATTAACTACCTCTTGTATTTGAAGTGTATCACTATTGGAAGCAGGATTTAAATCTGTAATATCCGTGACACCAGCCTTTCTTGTAATAGCAGCTGCTTCCTCCTTATATTGTGCTAATGCTGCTTCGACATTTTCTGCTGCTTCAGGAAACGGCAAATGAGAATTTTCAATCCAAAAGAAATCAGTCGGTTCAATGTCATATTGCTTCTCGATATATTGATTGGCATAGTTGTTAATATTATTATCAGAATTGTCATCTTGATTTGTTCTAGTGCTGTCATTCTTGTTAATTTGTTTAACAGGGATAGTAATTGTGTTTCTGGATAATTTAAAAATGTCAAATACCATACATTGATAAATCCATGAATGAGCAAACATAGATGCAAAATCTATTGTTCTATCCAATATAATTAAGACACCTCTTTCTAAATTGTCATTATTTGGTAATACTGAAGTACCAGAGGATTTGGTGTTGATCACATAATCACGTATTTTGTTACCCAATTTTTCTGCTACCATTTCAGCAGGACCACCTATAGGGGCTCTAATAATAGGGATAGAATTAGTAGTCATTACTGTATTGAATAAACCATCAGCAATTTTATCGCATAAAGTGTTAATTAATTCTTCAGTTGCATTTCTGTTATTGAACTGAGAATATGTGTTATCAATCTGTAAAGAGAATAATTCTGGTTCGGTAACAACAAAATCTAAATATTGATCAAACACTTGTTTAATCTTGTCTGCCTGACCAATTAATGCTATTTCCTGAGCTAATTTCTCTAATAAATCTCTATTTAAAGTAGAAGTAAAATTAATATAATATTCTGAATATTTTTCTTCTTTTATATCTTTAACAATGAGATCAATATTTTCTTCTGTTGGTGTAATAAAATAGACTGCAGAAACATCAGGTAATGGTGCTCTATCCTGTTTAATTAGAGTATGAACTGTAATTCCAGCTTTCAATAAATCATTGACTCTTAAGATAGAAGATATGATCTCAGTACTCTTCTTATCAAGGACTAACACTTTCCATAAAATGTCTTGATCACTGAAGGCGTCTTCTAAATTGCCATTTTCTGTATCTTTATTTAAAAATAGCATTTTTAAGATTGCAGACACCTGCATGTCACGCAAACTAGGTCCTCTTTCTATTACTGGATAATTCTGAGTTGACATTTGGACTTTTATTATTCTTCTTTTTAATATTAATCTTCACTTTTTACTCAAATATATTTTATGTATAGACCCAATTGATCCTCAATAGAGTGATTTGCTAAGTAGGAGACTAGTTGAGGAATCTCGTTTTTTAGAATAGACTTGAGAAGATAGCATGTTTATGTTCTAATATTCTTCTTTTTATCGTAAACGTTTTCCTAAAAGAAACCGTAATTCTCTTTTTTGGCTTTTATTTTTTTTTTTGCTTTGCAGATTTCAAAGAAAAAAGGTATTTAAAGAATGGATATGCAATATATTTCGACAGTTGAGTTTACTTCAGGAATAACTAGTGATGGATAGAAAGATATTGCATTTGCTTTCTTTAGTATTGTAAATCTCAGCTTATAGTAGCTACTTAGTAAGAAATGGTTAGTTGTCTTAGAATGTAGATGGATAATTTATTGTATGGGACAATTTAAATATATGTATATCTAAATATGAATATACTATAGATGTGACGATATATATATATACTCATTGAAAATGGGATCTTTACTAGTGTATTTATTGTGGATTTCCCTCTTTCAAAGTGGATCTACCTGCTCTTAATAATTCATCACAAAGTAGTAAGTTGCTTGCAATACCAGTGGCACCATTAATGGCATTTCTGATAACACGGTATGAATCCCAAATACCCTCAATAGTTGGATCACATGTGTCCCCGATATTTAAATCAACACCAACATATCTACGCTCTTCACTGTCCTCATTATCATCTAATTCATCTTGACAAAGAGATAGAACATCCAGAGGGTCGAATCCAGAGTTTTTAACTAAAGTCTTTGGAACCACTAATAGTGCTTCAGTGAATGCTTGTACACCAGTTTTTGTTTTACCCTTAGCACCCAATTTAACCATATTACTTTTTTGTAAATGGTTAGAAGCAGCAAGGAAGAAGGACCCGGCACCTGGAATAACATTTTGATCTTTTAGTACATTTGCAACAGCTCTTAAACCATCTCTGACAGCATCTTTCGTTTGATTTAGCGCATATTGGGTGGCACCTTTAATTAAAATGGTACATGATTTAGGATTTCTATTTTCAGTGACATAGGTGAATTTTTCTTCTCCTATTGTTTCTTGATAAACTAATCCAGAGTAACCAAGAATCTTTGGTGATAAGTCATCCACAGAATTTTGAGCTTCCCCACCGGTGACTAATTGTAGTCTTTCCATATTACGTCTCTTGGCTCTTCTTAATGCTAGGATACCATGTTTAGCTAATACATCAAGTGATGCTGGATCAATACCTTTTTGGTTTATAATAACAAATCCTCTATCATTATCCATCCCACATACTTCATTTTTCAAATCAACAATTTTTTTTAACTTGGCATCAACAAATTTTCTTTCACTGGCAGCCAATTTATCCCTTTGTTCTGCAGAACTGTAAAAGAAACCAGAATTTACTTCAGTCTTTTCATATTCTAAAGAAACATTTAAGATTAAGACAAATGCATCTTTCACTCTAGTTGGCATATCAGGGTGTCTACCACCGTGATCTAGAACTAAACCTTTTACAAATTTAGTGTCCTTTGGAGACAAATGTTGCATTTGCATAATTTCTACCATATGTAAATCTAGAGAGTTTTTCTTAGTTGGATCATAAACGTTTAACACGGCATCTGTGACAATAGGCGTTAAAACTTCAGTTAATTCAGGATTTACTTTTGTGCCTAGGGATGATCTGGCCACTTGTAACAGAAACTCTCTATCAATAGTATCAGTCACTGGTTTTTCAATTTTAAAGTCATCTAAAAATTTCAAGGTTTCCCTTCTGGCAATTTCAAACCCATCGGTAATAATTCTTGGGTGTACACCTTCTTGAATAAATCTATAAGCCTGTCTCAATAATTCACCAACCAAACAAACTACTGTGGTCGTACCATCACCAGTTATTTCATCTTGTGCAGCAGCAGCTCTAGCAATTAGGACTGCAGTTGGTGATTGAATTTGCATTTCAGTTAAAAGTACTTTACCATCTTTTGTCAATTTTATATTCCCAGCACCATCAACTAACATTTTCAAAGTACCTTTTGGACCTAAATTTGTTTCTAAGACAGATTGTAAGCCTTCAGCAGAAGTTACATTCACTTTTAAAGCTGCATCTCTACGGATCGATTCGGCTTTGGGATTTAATAACTGTAAAGACATTTTTTTTATTATTATAGTTCTCTATTCTTGTACGTCCTACTTCTTTATTATTTATTTCTTTTTTTACTTGTTTAGAGACAGATATTTATAAGATGTTAGTTAATCAATTCAATGGATATCACAAAACTAAATCTAACTTATGCAACACTACAACTCTGATCTTATTACTTCAGTGGGTATGTACTGATATTTCGCACTATTCGTGGTTAAGATAGTTAATTAAACACACATCTATATTGTCAATTATTTGAGCAAAATGAAGGTGAGATACCAATTCTCTGCTTTCTGTGTGATTTATTTTTTTGTTTTTTCTTTCTTTTATTTTTTTTCTTTCCTTTGAGATTGTTAAAATATTTTCGGTCACATGACATTGAAGATGTATGGGTGTTGTCATAATGTCATTCTTGTTTAATAGTATTAATAAGTACATTTGACATTCCTGATAATGGAGATGATAGAAGTGCTTGCGATCAGTACCTGTGGTTTCAGGTATGGCTTTATCCTTATTTATGTTTAAAAGGCAAACAATTATGTTTATGTGTACTCTATATAATAAAAAGTAAAAAGAGGCAAAAGGAAAAAAAAAAGAAGAATACTATAAATAATAAACGAGGTTTCAATTGTTGGGAGCATCATTTCATATTTACTTGTTTATTTCAATGACTAACGTTTCTTAATCATTGGTAAAACAATTTTGAGTTATTCTATCTAACATATTTGTATATACAATTGTGTATATATATATTTGTGTATACAAGAATGTATGTGGACATAGATTTTTTTATTTAATTCTTTGTCTTGGACCACCTGGAGATTTCTTGTTTCTGGCAGTTAAGATTTCGACACCATGTTCAGTAACCAAAAGGGTGTGTTCAAATTGTGCAGATCTTTTACCATCTTGAGTAGTAGAAGTCCAATCATCAGGCCAAGTGACGTCTCTCCATGTGCCTTCGTTGATCATTGGTTCAATAGTGAAAACCATACCTGGTTTCATGACCCCTGGAGTTCTGTTGTTTGCATAATGTGGGATACTTGGTTGGCAGTGGAAGAATTTACCTACACCATGACCACAGTATGTCTTGACAACAGAAGTCTTATTTTGAGTGGCATGTTTTTCAATAAAGTCACCAAGAGACTGGAATGTGGTACCAGGTTTACATTGTTTGATAGCAATCTTCAAACATTCTCTTGCAGTTTCCACTGTATTGATGGCCTCTTTATCTATCTTTTCACCAACATAATAGGTTTCGTTTAAATCGGCATGGAATCCTTGATAGTAAAGAGAGACATCAAGGTTAATGATATCACCTTCTTTCAAGACAGTTTTGTCTGGGATACCATGGCAGATAGTTTCATTAATAGAGGTACAGACAGACTTGGGGAAATTATAATAATTCAAGGGAGAGGGATAAGCTTTTCTCTTAATAGTTTCATTATGGACGATTTCATCCAACTCGTCCGTGGTAATACCTGGTCTAATAGCTGCTGCTGCAATATCAAGGACTTCTCTTCCCAGCATACAAGCTTTTCTGATTTTTTTAATTTCGTCTTTCTTATAGATGGGGATTGAGCTTAAACGATCGTTTCTTTGTTCCTCGATAGGTAGACCATTTTGAGACCAATCAGGTTTAGGAATATCATCAGGGACCTCTCTTTTAGGGGTCAACGGATAGTGTGGTCTTAAAGGACCAGTGTATTTGAATTTGGGGAATGGGTCATATGGAGAATGATCATCATCACTCTTATAATGTAAAGCTTTGTGGGCTTTATAATTATTTTTGTAACAAGTTTCATCACAAAAGATTTGTATTATACCATTTTTTAAACAAATTGGGCATTTTAGTTGGGAATCAGTTTCTTTACCACACTGCAACCCTGCACAATACACCTTAGTAGTCATATGTGAAGATGTGTGTATGTGTGTGTGTGTGTTTTTCTTTTCTTTGATAGATTTTGTTGATTTGTCTATATATAATATTTTACAATGGTAATATTCAATATAAGTATTGTATTTAGAAGTATACACAGGTATTTATCTATATAAAGTAGATAAATAATATAAGTAATTAATCATTTGATTACTTTTGACGTTTACATAAAAAATTTTTTCACTCCGCTGGTATTTCCCCTTCCCCTCTCGGTTTAGAAGACTTTCCCTGACACATTAAATTTTTTCTCAAAATTGCATTTTTTTGTCTTTTATCTTTTTTTCTTTTGTTTCTTTTGTTTCTGTTTTTCTTTTTTTTTTCGATACGCAACTGAAATTGGAAAGGTTGCCTGTGAGTGTCTGGGTGTGTACAGTTTTCATGGTCGACTTCCTTCTGTTCGTTGAAAAGATATCGTTATTGACAGTAGTGTCAGTGCAAGTGGGAGTGATGACTTCAGCAGAACTGGGGATAGTGTTGTGTTTGCAGTATGGTTGTATGATCTGCTAATGCTCTGCTTATTTCATTAATTTATTGATCTGTGAAATACAGATCAATAACTTTTGGAGTGAATTTCTCATCATCATCATCATCACCATCATCACCACCTTCACTATTACCGCCCCCCTCCTGCCCTCCATTTATTGCTGGTACAAATGATTGGGTCCAAAACTCTCAGGTAATAGTTGTTCAAGAGATGTAACTTTATATTTAGTACCATCGTAGTTAAACAGAGTAATAAGTGTGGTTAGGGAAAGGGATTCACGTAGGAACTGTCGACAAATTCCACATGGTGTGATATAGTCAACTGATGATCCAATTATAGCTACCTGGGTCACTTCATAGTCATCTTCTTTCTGTGATCCTGGAAAATATATTTGTTTATTGCACATTGCTACTCTCTCTGCACAGATTGTGGCCCCATAACTTGCATTCTCAATATTCGCTCCTTGGACAAGTGTACTATTTTTTAAAAGCAACACACATCCAACACGAAAATTAGAATATGGGCTATACGATTTTTGTTGTGCCTTATATGCCTTCTTGTACAATAAGTCAATGTTTATAAGTTATTCTCTTTTTTTTTCTATTTCTTGTTTATCTTAATAATTATTTATCCCGAAATAAATTAAGTCTTCAGTGACTATTAATTCTTTGCAGTTGAATCAACTTAATTGTATTGGTATTTTTATTTTCTAGCTCACCCTTTCCTTCTCGATTGATCTCTCTTATTTTTTTTATTTCTTTTCTTTTTTCTTCTTTGTTTATTTATTTTGTTTTGTTTTGTTTTTGTGTATATATTTGATTATTAATTTTTTTTTGTTTTTGATTTTTTGGTTTTTGTTGAGTGACAGATAACAATTAATGTTATGAAGATCGATCATTAAAAAGATGCATATTTGTACAGATTTACTCATATATATATATATATATGAGAGAAGGGAGAAAAAAGTAGATTAGTAAAAATTTTTGTACGGTTTCATTAAGTAAGCTAGGAAAGGGGAGAAAAGAACATATTTTCTTATTTACAAAATTTTTTCATAAACGTATAATACAAAAGTATACTTTAATGGTAACCCGCTGGCGACGATTTGTAAGATGGATTGTCACTTTGGATCATGAAACATCATTGTCACCATCATTATTATCTTTGGGGACTGAAAGGGCATACGAGACGTTACCTAGCGTTACAAATTATATTTTTTGTCTAGGTGGCAGACTAAGAACTAATAGAATTATGAGTTGGTATAAGTATTTACCTGTTATTGTGTTTGTTATTATTATTATGCCGTGTGTGCTTTTTTCAATATTTGAGACACCATATAATGTAAGTCGTCATGATAACTTATCATTAATCTCATTAGTTGTATTATTCTATTATTTTTGGGCGATGACACTATTAACGTTTCTAAGAACAGCCACAGGCGATCCAGGAATGTTGCCAAGGAATATTCATCCAGGTCAGTGGCAATCATTTGATAATAATAATAATAATAATCTTATTGTTTCACAATTTTTTACTCCACAAGATTATTACAATATTATTACATTACCTGCACACACGTCCAAGAAAAATCATCCAGAGAGAAATAACACCATCGATATCAAGTATTGTTGGACTTGTAAGATATGGAGGCCACCAAGATCACACCATTGTCCTACATGTGATGTTTGCATCCAGACACACGACCACCATTGTATGTGGGTTAACAATTGTGTTGGACAAAGAAATTACCGCTATTTTATATCATTTTTAATTGCATCCACGTTTACATCAAGCTTACTGATAATTACATCTCTAATTCATCTGCACAGAGTCCATTGGGTTGTCAAGAGAAGTCCGGTGTCTGTTTTCTTGATTATATACGGTGGGCTGACCATATGGTATCCATTTATCCTTTTATTGTATCACATTGCAATGACAGCAACACAACAAACAACAAGAGAGTACTTAAAGACCATGAGTGATAATAGTGTTAAAAATCCAGTGATGCATCCAAGGATTAAAAGGGTATCCACAAATATCTTTGATAGAGGGAATTGCGTGACTAACATGTTTTCTTTGATGGGACAAGTTCGTGGACCTAATCTGTGGCCACCAAGAGACAGAGTATCTAGAAGTGGGGATTGGAGACTACAAAAGTGGTAAAGAATTTGAAAGAGGCATATGAGAATTTGTGTGTGTGTGTACTTAGTATTACATTGATTAACAATGTTTCAGCGGTTTATAACACAACAGAATGTATGAGGCATCTCCAGAAATCGCAGTGTAACATTAACTCAACTAATCTTTTTTTCTTTCTCTCCTTTTATTGTTTGTAATTAAAATCATCCTCTACACTCTCTGGCTCTCTAAACTCTAAACTCTGAACTTTGAACTCTGAATTCTGAACTTTGGATTTTGGATTTTGGACTCCCCTCTGTTTTATGCTGTTGTGACTCTCTTTGCGGTTCCTTCTGTTTCTCTCCTTCCCAAGTTTAAACTAATCATAAAAAAAAGAGAAAACAGCTTGTGATGGCGTCGAGTTTTTTTATTATTTTTGTTTTTATTGTTTTTGTCATTTATCCTTCTTTCATTTCCTATTGTTTTGTGGACCACAGTCGGTCCTTTATCGGCATTTTAATTCAAAATGGATCAAACGGGAAAGAAAAAGAGAATAAAATAGAAAAAATAAATATTGAAAATAGAAAATAGAAAATGTTTTGTTTGTGAGGAAAACTCTACTATAAGAGGCAACCTCGATGGTGTGAATGAAGAGAGAAATGTTTAATATAAGGGGTATAATTAACACAGATATATATATACAAATAGAAATAATTTTTGTGTCAATATATATCTCATAAGGGAAGAGGTATTCTCGCTCAGCTTATAAAATCTTTGTGTCTTTTCTCCAACTGATTATTTTCTCTTATAGAAGTTTATTCGCCACAAGTTTGCTCGCATTCAGCCATATATTTGGCAAAAGATAGAAACAAGAAATGAAATTATTTACTAATACGTCCGAATTTGATTATCCATGGGAAAGAGTTACTGCAGCAAATTGGAACAAATATCCAAATGAAGTTTCTACCCATGTCATTGCAGTTGACGTTTTAAAAAGGGAAGTAAAGGATAATGGGAACGTTTTAGTGACAGAACGTTTAATAACTGTGCAACAAGGTGTTCCACGCTGGATAATGACTCTTATTGGGTGTAAGGATAATAAAAGTTATGTTAGGGAGATTTCTACCATTAATTTGAGGGAAAGATCACTGAAGATGCGATCTTGTAATTTGTCCTATGTTAATATCCTTAGAGTATTTGAGTCTGTCGATTATATTCCAGATCCAGTTGCCCCACACGAGAAAACTATTTTCAAGCAAGAAGCAAGGATCACTGCATATGGGACTTTTAGTAGGATCTGTGATTCAATGGAGGAGTTTTCCATAAAAAGATTTTGTGATAATGCACAAAAGGGTAAGATTGGGTTTGAAAAGGTACTTAAAATGTTTAATGACACTACAGATGAGATAAGTACTACAATTGTCAACAAATACAATGAAACCGTGGATGATATTAAACGTTACAATATGTTCCAAGATATTGAGAGAAAATGTACTATATTATCGGATTATTATGATATCTTTAACGATGCCTTTGCAAGATCTTAATAAAAAATATTCAATTCATACATATACCTCCCTAATAGAATATAGAAATAACAAGCATGGTATACGCATCGAAGTCGCTTAGTAATCGTCTTTTTTTCTTTTTTTATTACTGATGGTGATCCTCGCACGATTTTATTAATTACTTACTTATTCAATATATTCTTTTTCAATGTAAATAGTTTGTCATTGCAATTATTATAATAATATATAGACATTTTCCTTAATATATTTTGCTTTTTTTTTAATTTTGTCTTTATTTTTTCTTCTTTTTTCGTGTCCTTTACATTTTGACTGGATCCAAGTGAAATTAATTATTATCTAGCACAAAACTAACTATATATTAACACTACGAAAATACATACCTTTTTTTCCCCTGCCCACCTTTGCATCTCAAATATCAGAACAGAATGAATAAAAGCATAACAACGAAAAAATTTGATGCAGTAAAAAAGAATGTTAATTAAACAACTATATTATAAATAGATATATAGAAATACATGTATATACGCTATTTATAGCACTTAAGCAACGTTCTTGAAGACGGAGTGACACTTACCACAATAGAATCTGTCCTTGTGGTCAGCTAAGAAACAACCTGGACCACAGTTAGCACACTCTCTTCTTAACTTGGTAACCTTACCTTCAGCATCGACCTTGTAGTAAGATAAGACAGCTAACTTGACCTTCTTGTGCTTGTGCTTGATCTTCTTTGGAGTGGTGTAAACCTTCTTCTTTCTCTTCTTACCACCACCTCTTAATCTTAGGACTAAGTGTAAGGTGGATTCCTTTTGGATGTTGTAGTCAGATAAGGTTCTGCCATCTTCTAATTGCTTACCAGCAAAGATCAATCTTTGTTGGTCTGGTGGAATACCTTCCTTGTCTTGGATCTTAGCCTTGACGTTGTCAATAGTATCAGAAGATTCAACTTCTAAAGTAATGGTCTTACCAGTTAAAGTCTTAACAAAAATTTGCATTTTTGATAGGTTCTTGGTTTGTCAGCAGATAACAAGTTATAGTGCTTCTTTCTCACCAAGTGGCTCAGCCTCTTTGAATGTTAAATAAAACAATTAGAGCAAGAAATAGATAATGGTTAAGCAACAGGATCTGAAAAATAAACGATGCTTTAAGAGAGTGTTAACCAAGAAAGTGTGATTGATAAATTCAAACTTGAACTTGATTTTTAACTCATCATCATGGCAAACGTCATCTACAATTGTTCAATGCAATAGCGACAGCCATGACGAAGACGCAAAGGTGTGTGCGTGCGTGTGATGAGAGAAGGTGTACAGAGGATTAAAGATAGAAAATGTTTGCAATGGTAAAACTCAAATACAAAATTCGTTGAAAAATATGTTTGTTTGTTCGTTTTTCCACAATTTGTCATATATTCAAATGGAAAATGATGTCTTAACTAGGAAATTCTATCAAACTTTATTTGTGAATCAAAGAAAAAGAAAAAAAAAATAAATTTACACTGTGAGACCTTTTCTACTAATGCACGGATGTTTGAAACAGACAGTCTTCTTGTAAGTCTTCTTTTTCATTAGATGAATAAGCATTATAAAGAGTTAATCAATCTCCCTTATTTGTGTATCTCTTGTTACCATTATTGTTATTGTTATTATTATTGTTATTTTGATCAAAACAAGTTGATGAAAGTCTTTAATTGTATTCGTGTGTTTGCTTGTTCAACTGTTTTTTTCTAACTTAATATCATTCGGATCAATAAGGGTAAGTTTGAAAAAAGGAGAAGAGAAAGAGAAACAAAAAATTTAAGAAACACCATAGCTTTCTTGCTTTCTTTTTTCTTTTTTCTTTTTTGGTTTTACTTTTAAGGTTTGTTATCTTTTTGTTTTTTTTTTTGTTTTTTGTTTCATTCCTATAATATTTGCATTAGCACTATGGAAAGATGAATTCCTTATATGAATTAGATAGTAAATGGAAAAAATTGTTGACTAGAGATAATTTACTCGGTGGGCTAACTGTTAACGAGTTTGTTGAACAGTTAGGGAAGGATCATACGTTAAGAGTGCCAACCAAAGGTTTAGTCAGTAATCCAAGTAACATTAATGATCATGGTTATGGAGCGGTTGGTACATGGGATCCTAAACCTTATGTTAGAACATTCGAATCTATTTTAAAAGAATTAGCAAAACTGCAACATGAAAGTGAAGCTATTAAAAGTAAATTAGGTAGCGAGGTCCTCGAACAAGAATTAAAACATTCATATGCAATTAAAGAACTACAATCGAGGTTAAATGAAATAACAACTGAATATGTATCATTAGATTCAAAATTGGCATCAGTTACTAAGGGAGTTAAACCTTTAGGGGATAAATTAGAAAAATCAATTAGACAAAAGAAACAATATACTAAATCTGTAGAATTGGTCAATATTTATAATGAATTTCTGGAGACCAATGATAGTTCTCCGACTTTAGCAGCATTATTAAAGTCTCCACATTTTGGAAATCAATTGAATGCAGCTGCAATTATGAAGTCTTTGATAGCATTAGCCAAAAAGATTGAAACACAGTCTATCCCTAAAACTATTGATGCAACAAAGAGAATTGAATCTATTGCAGAATCAATGGAAAACAAATGGTTAGAAGAGTTTAATCATGCATATCGTGATAGTGATTTTACTAAATTAAATGAAATCGCTATTATTTTAAACAAGTTTAATGCAGGTGTTAATGTTATCTCAAATTTCATCAATCAACATGAATTTTTTGTTGAACAAAATCAGTTTGATATTAATGATGAAAATGGAACAGAAAAATTTGACTTTGATCAAAATCTTTTAAATCCTGATTACCATTATGTTATTTACGATAAAAAAGTTATGATACCGTTATTAAGTGAAATTGCTTCCGTAATTGAGAAGGAATCACGTATTGTAATACAAGTCTTTGATAAAAAGGCCATACAAGTTTTACAGTTATTTATTCAACGGATATTTGTTCAAAAGTTAGAACCAAAAATAAACCATATTCTGGTCAATTCCTTAAATTGGTCAAATCTTTTATATATAAGAAATTTACATTCCTTACACTCTTTGATGGGTCAATTTATAAAGGACTTGTCTACTTTTTTCCAAGATGGACTGATTAGTAACGGCAATGGTGAGATTATTTCAACTCTGGAACAATGTTACTCTGATCTTTTCTCCAATTATCTATATGATAGATCAAGATATTTCGATTTGGAAAAGCAAAATTTAGAATCAATACTAATTGGAAAAGCTAAAAAATTGAATACTAGTTTTAGTAAAGAAATAACACCTAGAGCATTAAACATAAAATTAAATAAGATGATAGAGAATGGGGAAGATATGACTGACTTTATGAATATTAATGAAATTGGTGTCTCTAATGATATTATCAATGGTGTTGGCAGTCACAATAAGAATATGAATCTTGGACATAAGTTTTTTAATGATGGAATATTTAATAATAAACTATCTCAATATAAGAATGTTATTAAAAGGAGGCTGGATTTTGATAACTCTACAATAAAGGATACAGGTGAGGATAAGGTACCGGAATCATTGTCCTTGTCTTCAAAAGATCAATTTGAATTATTTGATCTAGAAAATGTTGATGCAATGTTAAAATGTGTTGTTGAGGCAGTTGCAAGGATCATGGAATTAATACCAAATAAGGCAAGTGAATATACATTAGAATTGTTGGAGGTTATGTTTATTGGAATTATTGGATCATATATTGACTCAGGTTTAGAAATTGCATACTATAAATTGATAAATTCTGATACTAATTACGATTCTCTAGATTTATTAAGTTTAGATTACATTTCCAAATCGACAGAGATGTTAAACTATCTCTCAATTTCAATAAAATCAGTATTTTTACCATTATTGAAAAATTCACCTAAAAATAAACAGTTAATAATTGAATTAACCAATATTAATATAAAAAAAAGCGAAATATCTATTAATATAATTATGGCTAAATTGGTTGATATGATAACTGAGTGTTTTTCTACATCTTTAGCAAAACAGACCAGAAAGGATTTTATTCCAAAGACTCAAGATTTGATTGATCATGATACGGTACCGGCTATTGAAATCGTAAATTTCTTAAATAAAATTCATTCACAAGCCAACAATTTTTTGAAACCAAAGAATTTGAATAAATTTCTTATAAAGATTGGGGAAATTCTATATAATATGTTATTAGTACATTATAGTAAATTTCCTGTTAATTCTATAGGTGGAATTATTGTTACCAAAGATATTATTGGTTATTTAAACATAATCGAATTGTGGAATATTCAATATTTAGTAGATAAATTTTCAACATTAAGAGAGTTGGCTAATCTTTTCACTGTGAAATCAGATTTATTAGAATCTTTGACGATGGAAGGTCATTTATTAGATGTAGATAGTAAAATTATCAATGCATATATTGCCAATAGACAAGACTCCATTTCGGATAATTTTATTTCTACTGTCAAAAATAACATTAAACAGTACACATAGTAATTAAAGAAGAAATGTATATGGATATATAGATATAGATATATGAAATAAATTAAACATATTCTTTGTATTTGCCTCTGTACAATAATTGTCTATTTCTATTTGATTGAATCTTATAGAAATTGACACATAAATAGTTTGGCTTGCCGTTTTCGTATGATATTACATTTTTTGTTAAATAGAGAGAGCAGTCCAGACCTTCTTTAATTTTATTACTCATCGAAAAAAATAAGGATCAGTAGGATGCATAATTGTGTTAAAAAGGTAACACAGCCCACAGATGTTTGTCAAACTGTCTGATATAAGTATGGATGTTTGACTTTTACAGTAAGATAAAAGTGTGATGGGGTAAAAGCAATACATTTAAACTTTGGTTTTTTTTGCATCACCTATAAATTAGCAGGACAATAAGTAATTATTACAAATAGGAAATTCTCAACAAGAATAAGAAAATAAAATATGCTACGTTCGATATTGGAACTTAATACAATCAAAAGATTGGCCAGTACTATTCCTAAGACAAAGATTTCTACGCTTTCTAATGGTATGACTGTGGCCACCGAATTTATTCCAAACACCTCCAGTGCTACAGTAGGTGTGTTTGTTGATGCAGGATCTCGTGCAGAAAATATTCAAAATAATGGTACAGCCCACTTTTTAGAACATTTGGCCTTTAAGGGAACTCAAAATAGAACACAGCACGGTATTGAATTAGAAATTGAAAACATTGGTTCTCATTTGAATGCATATACTTCGAGAGAAAATACAGTTTATTATGCTAAATCTTTAAAGGAAGACATACCAAAGGCAGTTGATATATTGAGTGATATCTTGACTAGATCAGTCTTAGATCCAAGGGCTATTGAAAGAGAAAGGGATGTTATCATTAGAGAGAGTGAAGAAGTGGATAAGATGTACGACGAAGTTGTATTTGATCACTTACATGAAATCGCATACAAGGATCAACCTTTAGGGAGAACAATATTGGGACCTATCAAGAATATCAAATCTATTCAAAGAAAGGATCTTGTAAATTATATTACCCAAAATTATAAGGGTGATAGAATGGTGCTTGCAGGTGCAGGTTCTGTGGATCATGATAAATTGGTGGAGTATGCTCAAAAATCTTTTGGTCATTTACCTATGTCTGAACAACCAGTTCCTTTAGGTTCGCCCCGTGGTCCATTACCCATTTTCAATAGAGGGGAAAGATTTATTAAGGAATCATCATTACCAACAACTCATATTGCAATTGCATTAGAAGGTGTATCATGGTCAGCACCTGATTATTTTGTTGCGTTAGCCACTCAAGCTATTGTAGGAAATTGGGATAGAGCCATTGGTGCTGGGACAAATTCACCTTCTCCATTAGCGGTAGCTGCATCAAATAATGGATCACTTGCCAATTCATACATGTCATTTTCTACTTCATATGCTGACACTGGTTTGTGGGGGATGTACATTGTCACTGATTCTAAGCAACATAATCCCAAGTTAATAATAGATGAAGTTTTAAGGGAATGGAGTAGGATTAAAGCTGGTAATGTTACTGATGGTGAAGTTAAAAGAGCAAAAGCACAATTAAAAGCAGCTTTATTATTATCTTTGGATAACTCAACCGCCATTGTTGAGGACATGGGTAGGCAAATTGTTACTACTGGGAAAAGACTATCACCAGAAGAAGTGTCAGAACAAGTCGATAGAATTACCAAAGATGATATAGTAATGTGGGCTAATTATAGATTACAAAATAAACCAATTTCTATTGTGGGGTTAGGTAATGTTAATAATATACCTAAACTTTCATATTTAGAAAGTAAGTTAAACGCCTGATGATTAAATAAAGTATTTTATATAAAATTAGCATGCAATATTATATCATGTAAATACACAGTCTCCTAATAAATTCATTTAGTGTTTCTAATTAACAGATTGAAAAGCACATCTTTGTCGTTATATTGATATAAATCTATCATTGATTAAATAATAGTAATTATACTTTTTTGCTACATATGAAAGTAAAGAGATTATTTAGTTTAAATAAATTAGAATTATAAATAGTAATAATGGTAAAAAATTTTAGTGGCCATATATTAGATTTTTATGCTCATTGTAAAAAAAAGCACTTTATTGTGTGGTGTTATTCTCGATTTTTTTGTTATTGTTCCTCTAAAGTTATACAGGAATATGTGTTATTTATTTTTATGTATTTTATTGTAAAAATTTAACTAATTAGTACTTTTAAAAATATATAAAAAAAGTATAGGGAATTTTATTGCACTCAAAAAAATAGCCTTTCTTTGTGTTGGAAGCTATTGATAAATATGGCTTTAAAAGTATGAAATACAGCAACTATGAACTAGTATATATATTAGAATTGTCAGGCAAATATTAATGGATGAAGTGGATGATAATTAAGTATGAATTGACCGGTATTATTAAACATTAAATAAAGTGAATATTACTATAAATAAAAAGTATTATTGTTGGTGAATGAAAAAATAGAAGTTATATGAACAACAAAAATTACACACAGGGAAAGCTATAATGAACTAAGTTGTTAATCTTCTAAATCTTCTCCACAATATTTAAATAATTACTTTTTTGACTTTATACATATATTTATTTAACTTTAATCATTACATCTAAGATTAAAGAATATATTGATTTTTAATATAAATATAATTTCCAGTTTAACTGGTAATTTTCGTCATTATTTTAAAGTAAATGTACTTTTAAAACAATTGGAGTAATTTAATTATTTTTATGTGATAACTAGCGAAAGTATTGATGGGTTTTCTTTTAAGTGATTCATGAATTATAACAAAGTATGTAAAGATTATGAAAGGTTACATTATGTAATTTTTGTTCAGGTTGAAAGTATATGGGTAACTTCACATATTGATATTATTTTTGTTCCAAATAAGGGTCCCATAAATATATTCCATTCATATATGATAGTAATCTTGCTGGAATGATATACTATTTGTTTGGGAAACATGTAAATATATCAAAGAGGAAAAATGTTTGTTTTGCACATTCAATATTACGGAGATAAGATCAAACAGAATCAAAATAAATTAATATATTATGAAAAATTGCCAAAAGGTAAACATATATAAGTAGACTATTTTACTTATTAATTTTCCAATTTGGATGAATAATTTATATACATTTTATCGTATGTTTTTTTTATATTTATATAATTATTAATTTCTAAATAAGAGATCGAAGGAAAATTACTCTACATATTAATATAATAATAACATATAACATGACCACCGACGCTTAAGATATGTATACCAATATTATTCATCCAGAGGAATTATAAATAAAATATAAAAATACAGTGTATATATATTTTTCATCCAGATTGGAAATTTAATGAATAAAGTTATTCATTTGTATATTTTTTACTTGTGGAAAAATTTCATAGTCTTTTTTCTTAATACTGAAATTGTTTGAAATATCTCCGCAACAGTAGACTGTGCATGACACATGTTCATCTTCTTTGAGAAAATGGTTCAAAATTATTCCAGCAGTACGTTACGTATATTTCTGATTAAAGGTGTTCAAATAGAATGTTCTATAATGAAATAGATAGAACAATAAGATTTTAGTAGACACTAAACGATAAATTGTTGAGTAATAATTGTTGAGAGGTCACCAAAAGTTGTTGAGTTTGTTTATTAAACATCTTACTGTTCGCAGAGGAAAATGGCTTAATGTTAATATATATAAAGCCAAGGATTTCATCATACATTATTTTTATCTTATTTACAATGTTTGTATATTATTATTCCTATGTTGTATATAGAGAAAGAAAGTGAAGAACTTTATTATAATTTTGTATACTAAATCTGTTTAATATAATATTGAGAATGTTTAGTATATATCCAGTGAATACAGGCGCTCATTCTCAACAATCACTTTCTACGGTGATTTATATAAAATGATTTTAAATTGTAATATATCCATAACAGTGAATATAAACATTCAGTTTACAATAAAAAGAATCGCTGACAAGCTTTCAAATTGCTTTTTATTTGCCTAATTATATTTGATCGGACGGGAAACGGTGCTTTCTGGTAGATATGGCCGCAACCGACATTTTAACAGAATGACCCTCTATATGACTGCTGTGCTTGGAAACATGGCCCCATAGTAAGTGTGGCTATCTTGAGAACGGGAGCCGCTACGACAAAACTTTCGCAGGTGACCCCCCACAAAGTGACGACGAGGAATCGAACAGAAGACTTAGACCTGGGGAAACCCTGAGGGAAGGGTCTCAAAATGGGGGGTGGCGAAGGAGTGTTCATGGAATTGACATTTAGTGAAAAAAAGTTAACTTTAGTAAATATGAATGTGGATGGAGATATGTGCTGCAAAATAAACAAAATATGAAACGGAGAGTAGGGTTAGTGCAAAAAATGTTTTTGGTGGGAAAGTGATGTGTGGAAACATGGGGAAGTGGGCCAAAAGCGGCGATTCTGGGTGTGAGTGGGAAAACGTGGTTGGAAGTTGGGGGAAACAGGGAGCTAGGACGTTTTAGTGGCGACAGCTAGAAAGAGGATGCTTAGTTTAGTGGGGAAGATGGTCTTACATTGGGGGGTGACCATAGAAAAAGTCCGAGATTCAGAGTTTTGGAGCCAAAAAGACAATAGAACGTATGTCACAGAAAGGGGTATATGGGAAGAGGATGTGACCAGCGTATTCTACATCTCCTGTTTGGTGGGGAAGGTGGTCTCACATCTGGGGGTGGCCATAGTAAAGTTGGAAGCTAGAGGCGGAAGAAGGTGGGAAGTGGCCCCCCAGGGAGAGTGGTGGAAACTGGGGAAAGTGGTGGAAGAAGGGGCGTTACCGACCAGAACAGGGTGGATATAGGAGTAAAAAGGGTGGTTTATTATGGTATGTTCAGTAGTTGAGGCGGTAGAGGCATGTGGAGGGTCGATTATGAGGGGGCCAAGGGTCGGGGACGAGTGCCACAAAATAGAGGTTTTTGGGAAATGTTGTATGGTGAATGGGCAAAAGACAGGGAGATCAGGTGGATTACAGGTGAATCGGGACTGCAGAATCATATAGGTCAGGTGTTCTGGGCAGGTGGACTGCATAGTATGGGGCATGCTCAAGTTTTATGCTAAAGTTGCTGTGAGGCCAGGTGCAGGAAACTTGGGAAGATACGGGGGAAAGCCAGCAGCTACAGGCCAAAACTGGAGGGATATAGTAATTTTGTGGTGGGAAAAATATATAAGAGAGTTGTTTGGGTCAGGATGAGAGTGGCCACCATAATAAAATCTGGGAAAATAGCGGATTTTGCAGGGGGGTCGAATGGAAAGAGGTTGTGAGGATTATATGGGGGAGGGGGTTGGAGAGACCAAAAAAGAGGGCAAAGGGGGTAGTACAGAGTGGAATATACTGGAATGTCACATAATATTAGGGGGTAGTCACTATGAAAGTGGGAGATATGCTAAGGATTGTCTCTTTTTTAGACTGTGGATATAGGCTGCTGAGGGGGCCAAGTGGAAGAAACTGAGGGGGGGGGGGGAGGGAACTCGAGGATGTAAGGTGCAATACAGTGAAATATGGGCAGGAGATTACTATAGGACACTAAAAAGTGTGCATATGTAGGGGTGCTGCCATACAAAAATAATGCAAAATAGATGTTTTTCTAAAAACATTTGGGGACAACGCTAGAACAACGTGGGAATCTCCACAAAACCACTCTTCACAGACAAACTACATTTCCAAAAGTATATCTCTACACCATAGCAGCAGCAGTTTACCTGTACTAAGCAGCAAATACACACCAAAAACATACCAAAATGCACCTCTTTCCCCGGCATATTGGGGGAAATACCTGGGAAACAGGGAATGATATGTGCAGATCCACAATGAGGGGGTCCGAATACCCCTGCATGCCACCTAGTGGGGGTGCCAGGAGGCCGTTTTGCCCTTCACGTGACTTCCACGTGACTATCACGTGCAGGATACCTGTGTCGTGCTGCACGGCGGTTTCCTTTTTCGGAGGCGGCGGCGATTCGAATCCCGGCAGGGGCATCGAAGATTTTAATTTTCGAGTTTTTCCCACCACGGCAGCTACCAGACAGCGAAGGCGGGAGGTGAGAAAAACAAAAAAAGGGCAGGGAGCTGCAGCAGTAAAGAAAAGACCTGGCGCCAGCACGTAGAGTGGGTACAAAGCACAAAACATAGAAAACATAAAAAGGACAAAAAAGTGTATTTTAGGGGAGACGCCCCTAAATGCCTGTTACAGTATATTCACGTGACAGGCGCCACTATAAAGGGGAGGGAGTGAGGGGGCAGACCGCGGGTACACGGTAATGTGGGGACAAAACGCAGCAGCGATAGATTTGCAGGGAAAATGTGCCGGGAGGTACTTCATGCGAAAGCAGTTGAAGACAAGTCGAAAAGGGTTTGGAAACAGGCTCGAGTACGGCGTGTCGGTTGTAGAACTGTGGACGACTGGCCAAGTGCTGGTTGTCTATTTCTTACATGGCCTGGCCAAGCGGTGGCGGGGGTCTCTGGGTGATCGTGAGGTCTGCTCAGTTCCCTGCAGCGTGTGTTGGCATGGGTGAGAGTCTGGGGTGCGTGCGTTTCTGAGAATGGAGAGCTGCGAGACGCTCTGGCTGAGGAAGAGACGGCGACTTGTGCGGACTGCGAGTGTGTTTTGTTCTGGGGCCTTGAGTTCTGGCGAATGGAGCAGTCTGGTCTTGTGCGTGTGTGCTGAGGAAGCGATCTGAACCTGGCAAAGGGGATGTGTGGCAAGCCTGAGGAGGACGAAGCAGCAATGCGTAGTTTTCTGATGGTGTGTTGTG